TGAGTGAGTGAGTGAGATCAGTGAGTGAGTGAGTGTGAGAGTGAGTGAGTGTGTGTCTTACATTGTTAACCATCAGGTGCATGATGGTCTTGGGGATCAGGTCTCTGACGGTGCGGTGGATGATTGACAGGTATGAGTCCACCAGGTTCCTGACGATCTCCACCTGTCGCTCCAGCTGAGGGTCCAGACTGTGGATCTGTCCGTCGCTGCTCAACTCCTCCACCTCCACCTGAAAAAACACGGCTGCTTGTCATGTGACCACGAGACACACATGATGCCCTCAGAGCGTCAGCTCATCACTGACTCTTCAAAGGTTAACTGCTGACGTCAAATGAGGTCATAGGTCGGATGATAGAGGTCAGGGGTCATATGATGGAGGTCAGGAACGAGAAAACACACCTTTTCTTTGTCCTGCAGGGGGCGAAATGAAGCAGAACATTAACACGAGACAGGAACAACCTCCACTGTTGTCAATGATGATGTCATCAACGAGATAGGGTTCAGTGATTCAAGATTCAAAGGTTTATTGTCACATGCACAACATTTACATTTAGCAGTTGCTGGCAATGACATGCTTGAGATGATCTAATGATGATGTCGTCGTACCACGCTGCGTTCAGGGTACACTCCAGCTCTTAGGAAAGAAGCCTTCCAGCTGTCCACCTCCTCCTGAGACTCACTGGCCAGTTCCAGCTGACGATAATCTTTATACACGTTCCTATGACAGTTATGATGTCACTGCATTACATCTGCATACACAGTAACCAGCAGTCGTTCTTAGAGAACCAGAGGAACTGACTTCAGATCATAAATGTTTATCAGTCATTGACTATTGAGAATTATTAGACGAAGAAACAGACCTGTGTTCAGTGTTGAACAGAGCAAAGATGTGTTTGCTGGACATAAAGCTTTTCTCGATGTCTTTCAGTTTCAGGTTGTCCACAGGCAGCATGTACTTCTTCTCCTTCTCCTGCAGGGGGAGACAACAACACAATAAGAAAGTGATCAGAGTTGTGTCAGAACCACCAGAGCCATGTGAAGCTAACACTAACACAGCTCAACACTTCCTCAAGTCCGAATCCTTTATTGTCAGTGTTCAACATTAAAAATTCTTTTTGCAGCTCTTCTTGTTCCAGCAGCGATCGAAAGATTTTAGAAATCAGACATAATCAAGAAGTAAAGAAGTAAAAAAATTCAAATGTATAGTTTTTTTTTTTTCCTTTATAAAAACCCAGCCAAAAGATAAACATATTAAAGTGTGACAGTGCAGTAACAGTATAATGATAATGACAGTGCAAATAGTACAGTGTACAGTAGGACAGTCAGTCTGACTGTCCACCTGAGTAGTAGTGCAGTTCATGTTAGAGTTCATGTTAAAGATGGAGGAAATGTTGAGTCTGTGTTTAAAGATCATTACACTTTATTTTGACGAGTGAGTTTACCTCATCGTCTTTGTACCACGACAGCGTCTCGGCCGTCAGGACGAACCAGTACTCTTTAGCTCCGCCCTTCATGATGCTGATGTTGTTGATGGTGAGCCAACCTTTACGGATCACCTGCACAGACCAGGTGATGTCATCATCATCAGTCATGTGACCACTGCCCCACTGATCAACCACTGATCAATCAGCTTCACACACACACACACACACACACACACACACACACACAGACCCACTCACCATGATCTCGTCCTGGTTGCCATGGCAGCAGAGGATAGAGAGAAAAGAAAGAAAATTGAAATGAGAGGACACCCCCCCCAGGTAATCTGTAAACTCACCTGGTTTCCTGCAGCTTTCTTCTTGTTCATCTGGCTGCTCTTCTGTTGAGCACTGACACACACACAGACACACACAAACACACACACACACACACACACACACACACACACACACACACACACACACACACACACACACACACAGTAACCGGTTCAACCCTACATCTGATTGGCAGACTAGGTGCTAACTGTAGTCACATGACAAACCCCCCCTTGGACTTCTTGTTTGAAAGTATTTGTGTTCAAGTACACCTGCTCCCCCTTCAGGTTTTTTCAGGTTCTTACTTTGCAAAGCCGATGAAATCTTCGTGGTTTGTGTTCATGTACGCCAACTCGATGTCGATGAGCAGCAACACCTGATGACATGCACATGCACACGCACACACACGCACACACACAGCTGACTGCATCACTACTGCCACATTAGTGGGTGAGATTCTCTGGTGCAGTCCTCAACTGGATTAAATCTTATCTGCAGGATAGAGACTATTTTGTATCATTACAGATCTAAACAAACTGTAATGGCATGTGGAGTTCCCCAAGGCTCCATTCTCGGTCAAACTCTGGTCAACATCTCTCCCACAAGCTTGCATCTTTGAAGACAATAAAATATTCTACCATACCGACACAGATTTATACAGCCGTTGCCTAGCAACAAAGCTACAGACGAAAATGTTCTTCAGTTGATTAAAAACGTTGAGTGTTCTTCTAACGTGTTCCGTTAGCTGTTCACTTGAGTACTAACAATTAAAAATAAAAAAAATCTCGCCTTGCTTTTTGCTGCCATTACCTCTTTGAAAAACAGTTTGTCACTAAAGCACAATAAATCATGGGATATGTCGGGCAGGGAAGCATCCACCCAGTGAAGCCTCCGTTGCTGTGGACAGACACATTTGGAGGAGCCTTTAAATTGGGATAGTCACGCTGCTGTGACGTAATCGGTTTACGTATGTAGCCTCCAAGGAAGAACCTGAACTGAGACGCAGCTTGTGAGCGTGTCATGTGCCTGACCTGGTCTTTAGTGCGACTCTCTCGGTCTCTGATGTGTTGAGTGACGATTTTCTCCATCTCCTCTCTGAGCATCGGATACTGAGCCAACTGAAACACCCAAAGGTCAAAGGTCAGAGACAAAATTGTGGTTCAGGGACTGTGACGTAAAACCAACCACAAAGAAAAACAGCTTCTTTTCAATCAGTCATGTAGTAGCAGTAGCTTAAGAAGTTGCAGTAGCATTAGCATTGTCAGTAGCATTATCAGTAGCATTAACATTATCAGTAGCATCAGCATTAGCATTATCAGTAGCATCAGCATTAGCAGTACCTTCTGTGTACACTGCCTGACCGTGTTCACCAGTTCACTAATCACCATGTCGACACATTTCTGACACGGCTCTTTGATCTGAGCGATCTGACGCTTCACAATCGTCTCAAACGCCATGTCAGGTGTGAACAGACCCGTCCTGAGCAGAGAGCACAGGAGAGTCAGGTTACATGAGGTACACACACCTGCACACACACCTGGACTCCATCTCACCTGATTCCATGGATGTTCTTGATGGCGTAGCTGATCTCTTTACGGAGAGTCTTCTCATCACCCTCCAACTGCACACACACACACAGAGACATCACTGAGACACTGTGCACTCACTAACAAAATGGACTGTACCTGATACTTTGTTACACCAACATGTCTAGTGTGTGTGTGTGTGTGTGTGTTTTACCTTGACCAGTTCGAATGGGAAGCGTTCATGAAACACTCGGTTGATCTTAGCTCCTCCTGACAGTTCGTAGGTGTCGACCTGATCTCCAGATCCTTCGATCCGCTTCTCAAAGTCCACCGCAAACTGCAGTACCATCCTGACACAAACACACACACATACACACACACAGACAGACACACACACAGACTCACAAACACACACACACACATCATACCAGTTTGTACTGAATGTCATCGTACAACATGTTACTAGGTGTATTAGTGTGTAAATGTTGTGCATTAGTGTGTATCAGTGTGTATTACCACTGTAAGACTCTTTAGAGTCTGACTGAGAAACAGTCAGTCCAGCTGCTGCTCAGCTCCACAATCAAATATATAACTGTGCCTCCTCTGTTCTGACATCCTCACACCTGCTGCCTGTTTCTGTGACTTTAAACTTCTTTTAATCACATTTAAAGCCAGACATGGCCCCTCCCTTCATCTGAGTCAGGACTCTGTTCAGAGTCTGAACCCAGAGGAGACGGAACCTCACTTCTTAAATCTTTATTCAAAAGCTTTTATCATGTGATGTATTTTTGTTTGTATTATCTGTATTATAAAAAGTATTATATTTTTGTGTCAGCGTGTATTACAGTGTACTTGTACTGACTGCAGCAGGGCCTTGGTCTTGCGGCTCGGGTCATCGGGTCTGAAGTTCTTGTACTCGTCCACTTCCTTCTCGATGGACAACAGCTGACTCTGCAGTTTGCTGCGTAACCCTGGCAATGTGTCCCTGATGTGGTTGGTCAGTTGCTATGGGTAACAGAAACATGTTTATTGGGATTACAGAGAAAATGTAACTTTGTTGTGTGGTTAGTGAAGGAGTCTTGACATGTGGTCCTGACCCAGATACAGGGTCAGAGGTCAGGGCTGTCAGACATGTTCTCATGTATTAATACTTAAACCTTAAGTTACAAACTGTTTCTTCTAATGTAGTGAATCTGTTGTTGTGTTGATGTCTTCAATTCATCAGCATCTATTGTCCTCGTGTCCTGGAGACGGATCCTCACATGTGACTCTGAGCTTCAGTTACTGCTCAGAAAGTGTCTCTGTAGTTTGACTCTAGTTGAGTGAAGGACAGAGGACGTTGCTGCTTGTTGACATCGATGAGACAAACTCAATATGAGACAAACTGAATATGAAAAAACAAATCAAATGTGAATTTGATAGAGGGCCTGTTGGACGTCTGTAGAGGGACAGAAAGTGAGAAGACTTCTAATGACGATGGGTCTGAGTTCCTGTTACCTGGTTGAGGATTTTCTGAAGGTAGGCGGTGCCCATACGATCAGCCAGGTGTCGATAGGACGGGTGAGACAGGAAGAACTTCCTCTCAGCCTGCAGTGCTGCAACAATGTCTTTCTTCCCATCGATGTCCTTCTGACTGCGATTGACAACCCCAACGTAACCTGACACAGTCAGAGTGTTATTAGTTGCTATGGTTACCTGCCAAACATTTATACACCAGGAACCTAAGTAGTTTTCTTTCTGTTCTTTTTTTACCACAGTGTCTGAGCTCCTTTGGCCTGTGGAAGTCCTCAGGGCTCCATCCTGGGTCCTGTCTGACTCTCGCTCTACATTATCACTCAATTATCTTATCCTATCAAAAATAAAAAGTAAAATGAAGTGTTTGTTTATATCGTAATGATGTCACTTACACCATATGGTGATCAATGATTGGTTGATCAAATAAGCTGCAGACCCTATCTCTGATCTTATTGGTTGGACAAGTGAATGTATTAGGAAACTATTTTGAGATCATCATTTTCTGACTTCATTCATCAGCAGCTGTGGCTCTTAACAACGTTAATAAAGTTTTTACCATCCTCAGCAGGTTTAATTGTAAATACTTTCACAGACACGCAGGGTAACTGCAGATTTGAACAGGTACCAGAGAACCAATCAGAAAGCAGGACTCTTTGTGATGTAATGTGTTTGTACCTCTGCGGAGCGGCAGCAGTTTGTTCTCCAGAATATCTCTGGCATCGGTTCCTTCATCCATCAGATCCAGTTTGGTGATGACACCGATGGTCCTGAGACCTGAACACACACTTTTTAAAATTCATCGACTTCAACACAAGTACAAACATTTCATACGACCTGCACCTTCTACAGACCAGCACCACCCAGGGGCCAAAGGACATCTGGGGCCCCTGTGTCTAGTCATTCACCCACAATGTAATAGATGTAGAGGATGTAAAAAGTGGATGCTGGTTTTGATGAACTCTAACCTTGCGGGTCGACCTCCTTGGCGATCTTTAGCGCGTCAGAGTTGGCGAGATCAGAGTTGGCGGGAGAAACAGCCAATAGAAGGCAGTTGTCTTTAGTGACAAACTGCATGAGCATTTCTCTGATCTGGTGCTCAATGTCAGCCGGCTGGTCCCCAACCGGGACCTTCGTCATCCCGGGAAGATCTACCAGAGTCAGGTTCAACACTGAGAACAGGAAGAGGACATGTCAGAGGAAGGCTCAACACAGACCACTTATTGGTTTATGGGTTTGTGTCAGATTCTGAGTGGTGGTATGTCTCATTGCGTCACCGTTGGGGGAGTAGACTCTCAGGTTGATGGGGACTGGACTGATTCCTTTGTTGTGTCCTGTCACTCGATCAGTTTCAGCTTCGATCTCTTGACGAACTTCATCAAAGTCTGTGAACTTCTTTCCTTTGCAGTGCAGGAACTCAGCATACTCTGAGTCAAACAGCGTGTGATGTGACTACATGCGGTTTGTCGTCACATCACACGCTAACATCTGAGATCAGTCTGTCTGCTGCGTGTCTCACCTGTCGGACAGTTGATGAGCTGCAGCACCAGGGGGCGCCGGGTCACAATACCGGAACCACGAGGTAGGAAGTCTCTGAGGGGGGAGGAGGAGAGTTCAGTTTAGTTTCAGGTCGTAGAGACAGACATTTGCTGGACTGACACTGTCAGGACTCAGGAGACAGAACATCACACTGAATGAACGTGGATCAGGAAACACAGAATAAAGCTAAAGGTTCAATAGTTTGAGTTTTGTGTTGTTCTGTGATGACGACATGCTGCCTCATCACAGTCAGTTCAGGATGAAGACTCAGTAGTTTAGCTTTATGAGGAGCTCCTTTCCCTGGCAGAGGTTGTCCTGAGAACAAGACACTGGGCATTGAACCTGTGGACCAGGGTGGTGGGTTCCATTGTGGAAATGGAGAACCAGAGTTTGAAATATTGGAGAATCACACTCCATAGTTTACTCCAGGATCCATTAAAGGAGCCACTGACCGACTGTGGAACCTCAGGATGTTTGATAAGTGCCGCAGTGGAACCTGGACCAGCTCTGATCCTTCATGTTCTCCAGGACTGAGGAGTCATGTGACCACGACCATCTACACAAAGATCCACAGACCCAAGGAACCCAAGTGAGAAATAGGTCCAAACCTTCAGCACAAACTTTAACACATGTATCATGTAATCTGATGTAATCTAAATATAATCTCAGACATTATGTCAATAATGTTAAAGAGAGACAGACAGACAGACAGACAGACAGTTAGAGAGACAGACTGTGAGACAGGTAGGGAGACAGACAGTGAAACAGGTAGACAGATAGATAGAGACAGACAGACAGACAGACAGACAGTGAGACAGGTAGAGGGACAAACAGAGAGACAGACAGACAGANGACAGGTAGAGGGACAAACAGAGAGACAGACAGACAGATAGACAGATAGAGACAGACAGTGAGACAGGTAGAGGGACAAACAGAGAGACAGACAGGTGCACTCACTTGCCCACAAAGTTCTCCAGCACTGAGCTCTTTCCTGCACTTTGTCCTCCAACGACTCCGATCTGCGGAAGATCGAGAGTCGCGTTCTGACCGATGGACGAGAAGGAATCCTGGAGTCTGTTGACCAGAGGAATGAGCTCCTCCATCCCCCGGTTCCCCATCACTGCAGACAGACAGGTGGTGGAGGAGAAACAGGCAGGAGAGAGAGACAGGGAGAAGAGAGAGGGAGAGACAGGGAGGGAGGAGAGAGGGAGAGAGAGAGAGAGAGAGGCAAGGAGGAGACAGGTGAGGGAGGATCAGACAGACAGGGATGTAGCAGCTGATCTGTCTGTCGCTCCGTCCTGCTGTCTCACGCCACGCGCTTGTCTTCGTGCAGCTGATGATCGATGATGATCGATGATGATCGATGATGATCGATACAGATGTTCCTGCAGCTGACCTTCAGCTGCTCCTTCTCTGCAGGAGCGACACACTTCCGGTACGGACCTTCAGAATAAAAGCCCGTTTATGTTCGTTTACAATTTCTAATCTTCTACATGACTCCCTCAGGACTGTCACGTCACAAACTGTTTGATTCCACAAACCGGATTCAAACTCTCTGTGAGTATAAACAGCTTTAATCCGATTTAAACACAAATTGATTTATTATTCAACCAAAGTCCTGAACCTTTATTTTGAACGCTAAAAGCGAGACTTCCGTACTGTTGGCCTTTAACTCCTAAACAGGAGGCGTGAGCTGCACTTCCTCATCACAAACACCAGGAGTTACTGGTCGACCAGGACATTTGACCAACACATAGAACAAGTCTCTAGGACAGCTTTCTTCCACCTGCACAATATTAAGAACATTAGAAACATCCTGTCTCAGAAGGATGATGAGAAACTCGTCCATTTGTTCTCTAGACTAGATTAACTGTTTATCATCAGGACGTCACAGGAAGTCTGAGAAAAGTCTCCA